TGTCTTCTTGAAGTATTGTTTGTCTCTGATGAATTTACAATGCAAGTTCTTCAGCGATCACTGAACATACTCAGTGATGATCGCTGGAACTGAAAATACAGAGACACAAATACAACGTGAAAGGAAAAAAGGATTATCATCAAATCACTGAGAGAGAGGATCAACAATCTTTAATCCGATCAACACTATAAACGGTTTAAGACTAAATCGGACAACACGTGACCGATTTATAACATAATCCAGACAACACTATGTCCGATTTCCTTCAATCCGGTCACCATAGTGTCCGGTAAATGACCCAAATCGGACATATTTCTTTAAGAATAATATGCAACATTCATTAAAATCAGTAACAAAATTTCATATGAAAAACGTTTAGAAATAACTCACCTTATGCAATTACTTTAGTTTGAAGAAGATGAATGCAAGACTAAAAGATTTTCGGACAACTCTTCTCTCTAATTCTCCCAAAATCTCAAAGAGGCAAGAAAAACTTATGCATTTATCCAACTTTCACTATACATACTTCCCTTAATTAGAAAGTCGGCTATTTCAGCCTTTACCCACATACATGCATACATACAAAACTACCTCTGCATGTATATAATTTCATGCACACACACACACTTTATGCGCATATATAAAATATGTATGATCATAAAATCACATACATTTCTAATTTCATGCATATATTTAAATCATATGTATATGCAACCACATATTATGCATATATTTCCATGCATAAAATACACATATTAAATTCATGTAAGCATGTACCCATGTAATCAATTAATTTACATAATAAATACCTCGGGTGATAACCAAGACCCGGTTGTCACAATAATATCCATGATTAACACCCTCCACAATAAAAATGATTAATCAACCTCTCATAATTACAAAAAAATGAACAAAATGAAAAATTATGATTGGTTGAATGAGGTTTGTACGATTTGTACAAATCATGTGGTTTGCAAAGTAAACCTCCTATATATATATATATAGAGAGAGAGAGAGAAAGAGAGTTTACACCAAATAAGTAGATGGTCACAAGGAATCTGAAAATATACAACCATGGTCAGATTATAAGCTCCCATCCAAATGAACAGCCATGCAAGTATATGTGGTGCTTAAAAACGAATAAGTATGCTTATCGTCTTTCTTTTATTTTCTGACTGTGGCATATTTGCTGGTGGCTGGCCACTGGAAATTAACAACTTTTGTACCCTTCTGTATTAAACAACATCAATTTGTTGCTGCTAAGTTTCTTTCTTCAGAATCATGTTGTCCTTTGAAAATGAGTGCATCACATGGTACAACAAAGTAATAAGATATTGACACAAAATTTGATTGGTTGTAACATAATGTATGAATACTTGAGGTCTTAAAGTACTTTTTTTTGTTAATTTTACAGTTACAAAGTGGTCTGATGGTCTGCATGTGTCTCCGACAATTGCTGGTAGCCGACCTGGAAGTTTGATCGCAGTGGCTTGGGCAGCCATGCTTTCATTAGGGCAAGAAGGTAGCATCATTGAACTTTGAGCTTATAATTCCTGGTCTATTTCTACCACATTTTGTTATAGCAAAACGATAATTCTTTATTGGTTTTTTGAAGGTTACCTTGAGCATACAAGAGAGATAATGGAAGCATCAAAAAGGCTACAAACAGAGTATTTTTGTGAAGTCTTAATTTGCTCTCTTTTAACCAAAATCACCAGTGCTTTAGTATATTGAATCTTATTTTTTTACTCCATCCTTCTCATAAAAATTGCAACATGTTTTTTTTGTCAAACTTTTAACGTAGAATTACCTGTTTACTCATTGTCAACACTACATACATTTTATTAGGGCTATTATTATCTTTTGTTTTGTTGTGTGATTATTGGAGTATATATAAGATACTTGGGATGAGATATGCACTTGATTGTTGCAATGTTGTGCAGAGTAAAAGGGATCCCAGAGTTGTTTATCATCGGAAGGCCAGAATGACGATTGTGGCTTTTGGCTCTATCATGATTGACATATTTGATTTCCTTCCAAAAAAAAATGATTGACATATTTGAAGTGAACGACATACTGTCCTCTAAAGGTTGGCATTTAAATCCGTTGCAGAAACCCAACAGGTAAACTATTGACATGCTTATTGGATATATATAGATCCTTAAATTGATCTACTTGTGTGTTTATGTGTGTACATATATGCTTATTTTTGTTGCGTGAAATGGTAATTTGGAAATGACATGTAGAAACCATTTTTTCAGCATTCATATATGTGTGACCCTTCAACATGTTCCTATTGTTGACAAATTCCTGAAAGATGTAAAGGATTCTGTGGAAATCGTAAGTTATTCCTAGAAAATTTCCCATTTACTTTTGCTCGTACTTAGCAGCAAAGTGGTGTTGGTTTTGGTTGTTTAGGTGAAATAAAAGCCTGGGCCAGTAAGCGCAGGACTTGCACCGATATATGGTGCAGCTGGGAAGATCCCAAATAGAGGAATGGTGAACGAATTACTGGTAGACTTCATGGATTATGCTTGCTAATGATGCGATTATTTTTGTTGTGCGACATCATTCTTTGTCAAAGGAAATTGTGTTATATACCATAAGATCAATGTGTAAAAATGTTTGAAAAAGAATCATCTTTATTTGATGGTCCATGTTTTGCCTATGGGAAAATGAAGAATACACAAACTCATTTTTAATGAATTTAATTAGTTTATTGAGTATTGTACGATAAACATCCTAATATCATATAATTATTAGGTAATTTTAACTGCCTGACACGAATGAGAGATGAACACGAAACCATAGTTTTTCTTTTCCAAATCTCTCTCTCTCTCTCTCTCTCTCTCTCTCTTTCTCTCTAATATAGATGTATATTATATAAGTTATGCTCTTGTCTATGCCTTTCACTTTGATTCTACACATTTATGTGCATGCAAGTTACAACGTCAATGGCATGTGCGCTTCAAAGCTTTGTTGATGTGCAAAAGGTTTGCTAAAATATATCGTGTATGATTTTGATCTTATATCGACGATGTAACCCAAGTTGGGTGCTAATCATGTGTGATAAGTGTGGATATCTTCTTGAGGCAACTCCTGTATGCGATTTAAATTCTTATATATTAGACTGTCCAGATGATCCTTTCTATATCACAATCACTAGCATTCTGTACACAATGAAGCATGAGACTATTTGATGTTCATTTTCGGTAATGGCATTCAGTTTATTTAAAGCAGTGCACCTTCAATGCTTGTAATATTTTTTGATATTTTGCTTTAGAAAGGATCGATGAGAAAATTTATTGTTGAAGAGGTTGTGTTGTCACTTTGAATTTTATTCATTGCAACCATATTTACAATAGCAAAAGAATTTGTTTATATACACATTCCATATAAGAGATTTGTTTTTTATGAATAATTATAAAAAAAACTACTAACACCAACATTTTGGATGGATGTATGTTTGAATATAAATTAAGTGCAAATGTAGTAGGTTTTATTACACCTCGGAAGAATTTGATATCCCAAAATTGAATAAATCTTAATAAGTTTTTTACATTCCGTCGCATTGCACGAATAAACAACTAGTATGTTAACATACATATCTCTATTTCTATTATCCTGCAACACGAGCAACTTTTTTGGTAGACTATATATCACTTTTTGTAATTTTCAATTTTCAATTTTCAAAATCAATTTATTTGCTTTGGTAGCTCCACAAATGATGAACAGCCACGCAGGATACAGAAGATCCCGTCTCCATTCCACCTGCCCAAATCCCACGTTGAATTCCAACAAAATTCTTGGGGACCCGAATGTTTTTGCTACGAATTTTCCAACCCCAATGATCAGAAATCTTCCTTCCCCTTGAAATCCTTGAAAATCGGAAGGAAAAATACCCAGAAAAAATGTTACCTACATCTTCGTCCTCATCCTCCTCATCATCATCATCAAAACAAATTCTGTTCATCTCAACACTCATAATCCTCTGGTACTCGTCAAACATCGGTGTTCTTCTCCTCAACAAGTTCTTGCTCTCCAATTATGGTTTTAAATACCCAATTTTCCTCACAATGTGCCATATGTCAGCTTCTGCTATCCTCAGCTATATCTCCATTGTGTTTCTCAAAGTCGTGCCGTTTCAGAAGATCAAATCTAGGTCACAGTTTTTAAGGATTGCAACCCTCAGTGTCGTTTTTTGTGGGTCTGTTGTCGGAGGGAATATTTCTCTCCGATATCTGCCGGTTTCCTTCAATCAGGCCGTCGGAGCAACCACGCCATTTTTCACGGCTCTGTTTGCGTATCTGATGACCTTCAAAAGAGAAGCATGGATTACTTATGGTGCTCTTGTTCCTGTTGTTGCTGGAGTTGTAATTGCAAGTGGGGTATGTTTATATTTTATTTGATTTCCATATTTAATGCTTCAATTAAGATAGGATTTAGTGGTTTTTTGATTTGGGTCTTTGCATAAATTACTATTGTTTTTTGATCTGCTACTCTGTTAATTGGTATCTAAAAGGGAAGATTAACTGTTCATAAGTAGAATCACCTTTTGACTTTTAAGAGTCAACTATTTTGTTTTTGACTTTGGAATTCATACGGGTTTGCTATGTTCATATAGAGAAATTGGTAGCTAGATCAATATATAACAAGAATGTGCTAATGGAAATGATTTCAGCTAAAGCAATTAAACCATCAGTGTAAAATTAAACTCAGAAACTAGAGTCTAATTGCGGAAGTGCAGAATTATATTGTTTAATAATACTTCTGTTTGCATGTTTGAGGTTTTATGCTCACTTGCTTCTGATTATAACTTCATATGGTGGCGTTTCGGCATCCATTAATGTTATTAAGTTGAAAATTGAAGGGACTTGATGCTCCTCAAGTGAAAGAAAAGAAACAGAATTCCCTTTTTGTACTTTCCGATATGAACTTCAATGTAGTCATCACTTCTTTCCATAACTTTTTTGGAACTCAACGGTTTTGAGGTTCAAACGTAACCCACTGGACCTTCAAAGTATATCTCATTTGAACAGAACAAAGGTGTAAATATGTTTCAAGTATTTAGTTGGAGTAGATGAATCTTTTTGATCAAAGTTATTTGAGGATCATGAAACACGCACTAGATCAATTATTTCACTTTAAAATCGTCAATATTATTCAAGTCTTTGCTCTTACCCTAAACCTTATCTAATATTCTTTCACTCAATCTGCCTAAATTAATCTTTCTTAAGGACATAGTTTCTAGTTCATCTAGACGTACTTACAAAAGCCTTCATCCCCTATTTTTATTAGTAGTTTTATGAACTTGATCATAGTCTTGGTTGGTGTCGTACCCATGAACAAATGTTCTTCAATGATCCATTTCATTTGTAGTCAATCTACCTCATGAAGTTGCAATGGTTTAACCCTACATGTAATTTAATGCAAGTGTTCATTTTCAAATATCAAGAATTCTTCAATAAAAGGAACCTTATGGTCCAAAGTTGCTAACATCAACTTGTGTTGATGAGAATGGGGAGACAAGTAGATTTAGTTTGAAGATTTTTCCAAAAAGGAAGATTTACAATTTTCATGGAAGAGCCCCAAATGGAAATTTTTGCACGTTTCATTGTGATCCTTGTGGAGCCAAGGTCTGCCTACATACTACCCCCTAGACCCTATCTCTCTGTGAGATTTCATGGGTTCGTTTGGTTTGGTTTGGTTTCGTGGGTTGTCGGTCTTAGTTATATTTTCTCCTTGGGCACCTTTATGATATTTTATGTGACCGTTTTAGACATATAGCTTTTCATTGAATTGCTCTTTCATCTTTCAGTGAAGAATGTCTCAACCCACTCGCTGAATGCAATTGACTTCCTCATTAACATAGTATACAAGCTTCCATCTACGATAGTTTTACTTCATTTATGTTTTGCTTCGTATAATAAGGATGCATTCTTAGGAGTGAAAGCCTTTTTATGGACTATATTAAGTGTTCATCTTATTTCATACTTCCAAGTTCCATATAACTGCCCACTTTCTATTTTTTGAAATTTCAGATTTTAATATATATTATTATGTTTCCCTTTACATTTAATAGAATACATCATGAAAACCCCTTGGACAATAGAATCATGAACAGAATCCAAACATGAGCTTTTCTAATTTGAAAAATATAAACCTAAAAAAATGGCATTAATTATTAAGTTCAATAAAATAGAAAATAAAAGGAATTGGTTTGGTCTGTTTCCAGCCGGTTTTAGGCAATTCTGAACCGAACTGAGAACTATTTTTTTTGAAAAATCCAGAACCAAGAACTGAAGAGAATGCAGGGTCTATAATCTGTTTCAGTTTGATCCCAGTTCATTTCTTTGGTTTCATTGGTCCAACCAAGGTTTTTGTAGTTTATGCTAATTTTATGTGCGTTTGTGGTGCTTCTTATATGGCTTAATGTGGTTATGAACTTGCATTAGAAATAACCTATACTTATCACTTTTGAAGTTGAGGATTAGGTTGACCCTCAAAGGTCAAACAAAGATATTATTATTATTGAATAGAGGGGGTAATATTTTTAAATATTCCCTGCTTTGCCATTTCCAGTATACTTCTTTTTTTAAATAAACAAAAGCAGGACAAAAAGGGGGTGCAAAGTGTTGTATCATCATAAACCTCTCTTATTTGTTTGTTTTTTTATTTTTTCTTTTCATATAAACATACATTCTCCATTGAGAGCATTGCTGTTCACAGATTTAGAGAACATGTTTTTTACTGAAATCACCGCGGGTCTTTACAGAAACAGTCAGTCGCTTTACTTCTTGGGTTTGTTTGGTTTGGTTTTTACTGAAGTACAATAATATCTTATTTGGTTTTGTTTCAGGGGGAGCCGAGTTTTCATTTGTATGGATTTATTATGTGCATAAGTGCAACTGCTGCTAGGGCCTTCAAATCTGTTCTTCAGGGTGTCCTACTTTCTTCAGAGGGGTAAATTCACTTCTACTTTCCATTTCTTGACTTTATGTCAGTTCTCTTAGGGGCTGTTTGGTTGATTTTCCATCAAGTCCTATATGGATACAACTGACTGTGTGGATTAATCCATCTGTATAGATTCGGAGGTTCTTTTTCATAGACGGAAGGAGCGTATTTCTTTAATTGAGAGGGGTAGCTTTGGAAAAAAAACTTGGCTTTCTGCATAAAGCTCCCCTTTGGAAGCTTATCGAATAAGCCATTTTCTATACCATTAAGCCACTACCAAACAGCTCCGAATAAGCTGAGTCCTATTAAGCTCATTAAGCTGTTAACGAACAGACCCTATTAGTTGAAACAATCCTACTACCAACTTATGATTCTTGAGATGGATTCACAATATGATCTTTCAATCTTCCTACATTAGTTTGGGATAAAAAGTTTTGTTAAATATGTTAATATAGATTAAATGTATATAATTTTGCAGGGAGAAGTTAAATTCGATGAATCTGTTGCTTTATATGTCTCCAATGGCTGTTGTGGTTTTATTGCCGGCAGCGCTTGTAATGGAACCAGATGTTTTAGATGCCACCCTCTCTCTTGGGTCAAAACATAGATTCATGTGGCTGCTGCTTTTTGTGAATTCAACTATGGCTTATTCAGCCAACTTGACCAACTTCTTGGTCACCAAGAACACAAGTGCACTAACACTACAGGTCTCTCTCTCTCTCTCTCTCTCTCTTATTTCTTCATGTAGGGTTGTTTAGGAGAATAATCCTTCTGACAATTTTTTTATGCATGACCTTCTGACAGATCTTTAGACATTAGACGAGACATTTAGGTATATAACCTTAATAACTGTTTGGTAGTGGCTTAATAATATAGAAAGTGGCTTATTTAATAAGCTTCTAGGCGGAGCTTTATACAGAAAGCCAAAGTTTTTTCCAAACATGTCTCTCCCAATTAAAAAACACGTTCCTTTCATCTATGAAAAAACTCTCCCAAACAAAAACCTTCCCAATTTATACCGACAGATTAATTCACACAAATAGCTTTATCCATACATGACTTAATGAAAAAACAACCAAACAACCTCTAAATGAGATTTTAATTAAATCCATGACCTTTTCACGAGTATAAAGTCATTTTTTCTTTAGTAGGCTGGGAGGTCATGGATTTAATTGAAAACTTATTTAAGGTCAACTTATTTAAGGTCATATCCCTAAATGACCTGAAGTTAGACAGAGACGTTCTTAAATTTGTCAGAAGCTCATGCATTAGAATCACTTAGACGATATTCTCTAAATAATCCTTTTATTACAACACCCGTGTGTTTTTATTTCATTAAAATGAGAGAACCATCGTAGACACCAAACTAGGAAAAGTATTGGTAGATCCAAAACCATAGTTGTTATTGCTTACTCGTGTCATAGATTTTCAAAATTAAGCATATTGCTTTTCACTCACTTTTCACAAGCCGAGGGTCTTCATGAAAACATCCACTCTGCTCTTTGGGGTAGAGGTTAGATCTACATACAACTTACCCTCGAGACTCCTCCTCCGGGGGATATATTTGGTTTGGTTTGGTTTATAAGTTGAAGTACACATGTTATGATCAGGTATTAGGGAACGCTAAAGGTGCTGTAGCAGTTGTTATCTCAATACTTCTTTTCCGTAATCCGGTAACCTTTATAGGCATAGCCGGCTACTCCGTGACTGTTATGGGGGTGGTTGCTTACGGAGAAGCCAAGAGGAGATACAAATGATCATTTGCATTTTAGTCGACAAAAAGGAAAATAGTCAAGCTTACATGAGATCCTCACGATGATGTTGTACGGCATGCACATAATACGGTCTTTGATTCATTATCAAGAAGGGTTAGGCAAGCAACATATTACAAAAGAGAATTCTAAGTTCTTTATTTTCTATGTAATTGCATTAGATATGAAACATGGTGTTGATTTGTACTTGATAGAAGAGTGAAGTGATTTGTGTTATATAATTGTCGGTGCCTCGTCTTTCCTTCTTCAAGAAGGAGGGTGGAACCTTCGGCAAAATTTTATTAAAATAAGAATAAAGATACAACCTAAGGTGGGACTCCCACCGGCAAGCATGTCCTCCCAACCTGTTGGTGATTTTAGTGAATCATCAGGCCATTTTGTATAATTGGATTCACAAGAGAATGGGTTGATGCTTAAGCTATATATAATACAGGTTAGGAGATGCAGAGTGCACACTTGTATAAGCTCGCTAGAATCTTGGAGTCGCCGGATGTTGCCATGGGGCAGGGTCATGGGATCGTGCCTCCTTGCGGGGTCCTAGAGCAATGCCCTTTGCGGTGGTCCCGCTGACTGCTAACAAGAACGATTTGCATTAAGCGTCACTCAGAAGAAATGTATAGTAAACATAAGGCAATATGCTTTCTGAAAATGCTAAGTCTAAGTATGGCTTAAAAGCTTTATGCTTTCTGAAATAACTAAGGGGCTGTTCGGTTGTGGCTTAATGGGTTGTATAGCTTATATGGCTTATTCGCTCAGCCTTAACTAGTCGTTCGATTGTGGTTTATTCGGTCAGTCCATGACTTATCACACAGCTGGTAACACGCACTCTTTTCTCTTTTAAACTCAAGCCATTTAATTTTCCATTAATTCCCCAACTACCCTTCAACTTCTCATCTTCAACCTCTGGTCCATCTTGATCAACCCAATTCACGATCGCACCTCAGGAGTACTTTGAAGTCACAAGCCCACTTCCCACCGATGCCATTACTCCGGCATGCTCTGTCAACGTACTCGATTACAGCTTTGGGAACACCTACGACAGTCACCCTGTCACAATTGACTACATTCCGCTGCAGTTGACTTGTAATTGGTCCCTTGCCGTCCTTGAGTTCCGAGCTGAATGTGAAGGTGAGCAATACGACCGTATCACCGGAGTCGGGATCGATGGAGTAGAGCTGTTGCGGACAAGTATGGCTTAACCGACTGAAGATGGAATCTTCTGGACTGTTCGGAAGGATGTGACTAGGTATGCTTCCATTATTAGTCGGACGATCACACACTTTTAGTCATGCTCGAAAACCTTGTGAACGACGAGTTCACCGGTGTTTATCATGTTAATATCTTCTTTCTTTTTTACTCTGATAAAGGCGTTAGGGTTTCGTTATCCGTCATTTCGAGAGATTCAAAAACTCATCGGCTGAATAGAAAATTGATTTCTGTTAAGACTCATGGAAATGAGGATAAAATTGAGCTTGATCGAGTATTGAATTTGTTATATCCATATGATAAGCCAGTCGAAAGAAATCAAGCCTAAAATCCAAATCTGAAATCAAATTAAAACCTAACCCGAATTTTAATTAAAAGCTATCTATTCAACATTTTTATCGAAATGTGATTTGATTCAATGAAAATATAGACTAAGGGTAAAATAGTCATTTTCGACATTTAGACCGTTTATTCAACACAACAACGAACAACTTATTTGTTATCATACAGACAACTTTATCAATACAGACAACATTATGTATACAATTCTTAATAGAAATTCAACTGAAAAATCCCCAAGTCTGAATGAAAACAATAAGCTTTATGAAATTCTGAAGTCCAGATAATCATAAGACAAATCGCCTTTTTGACTAAGTGTAGAAGGCAAATCGCTTCTTAACTATTTCTAAGGCAAATCAACTTCCTAATTAGTTTGATGGCGAACCTTAGCTTAAGAAGTTGGGAGGACATGTAGTGAATCTCGTTACGTAAAATGGCTTGATGATTCAATTCAGGAAGCCAGATTGTTGACTTCTTGTGAATCCAATAAATGTTCAATTGATTCCGGTAATAGATGCCTTTTTGAGATGCATTCATTCTCGACTTTAATAGACAAGACGTTACAACTTTCTATGTTTATAAACTTTCTATTTCTGACTAATTCGTTAATGTGTGAATTGACATTATCATTGAACAAATTTCATGTAATCCAGACAGTAAAGGGTCGAAGTTTTGTTCAAGGAAAGCTAGCTCTACAAGATCTTAGATCTTGTCCATGTGCTCTATTGTGATTTCTCACGACCCAAACCACGTTTGTAACACAAGCCTTAGAGTTCGGGAAGGAGTGCACAACAATTCATTGCTAATTTGCTATGGTAGAAGAGGTTCCAGACTATACAATATTAATTATACATACTAGAATTAGTCTAAGCAAATATGGTTTGAACATCCTCCAAACCATAATATGATCCAACATATCATGAACAAGTTGGGGTGGATCATCATGACCAAGAGGATCCCATTGCTGATGATGTCACTTAAAGGCTGTTTACTGAACACTTACTGTCTCTTCATGTTAACTGAACACTTGTTGCCTATTATTGAGTAAGAGACTAAAAATGATGGTTTTTTCCTGAACAAATCCTCATATAACATGGATAATGTCTCCTTAGGAAGTAACAACTAGAGAATTATCACTTGTATCCTATAAAAATGGTGCAAAATTCCATTTTGGTGGCAATGGCACTAGATTTAAAACAACTAAACCCACTCTTAAAATGATCCTTTTGTTTTTATTACAACTTGTTAAAAAATTAGACAACTTAATCTTTAATTCAGATGTTTCTAGCAATTGCTTAAAAATTAATACATTGACTACATGAACAAGTCATTAAGTTGTTCAAGTAAAAAGCAATCAATACCTTAGTCCTAGATGTAAATAAGAGGAACTAAATCATTTTTGAACTCAAAACATATTGTAAAAGCATATTGTAAGTAGAGATCAAATGAGATTGACTTGGGACCTTATATATCGGTAGCGGAATCCAAGGTGGAGGTGAATGAGAGGTTGGAGCAGTGGAAGGGTGCATTGGAGTCTCAAGGCCTACGCATTAATCGCTTCAAGACATAATACTTATGGCGCAATTTCAGCAGGTACAATAACGACGGGGGGATGAAATCATGAAAGTCAACATTAGAGGGTAAATGATGTGTCAAAAGAATAATTTCAAGTATATTCAGGAAGGGGTGAGGTCGAGGATGCATAATGCATCATTTAAGGACACAATGGCTAAAGTGGAAGGCTACCATAGGATGTGTGACAGGGTGACACTGAAACTCAAGGGCAAATTTACAGGGTAGCTATTGCACCAAACTATATTGTATGCGCCAGAATGTTGGGTGACAGGGAAATCCTATGACAAGAAGTTGGAGTTGCAGAAATGAAGATGTTTAGATCAACATATAATCATAGTCGAACCATATCATATAGTGTTGGGAGTTGATTAGACATGACGGCTTTAGGCATTTCCCAAGACATGACCTCTGATAGGAGTTCTTGACGATGTAAGATAAGGGTAGCATACTAGGTGTGAAAATCTATAGATAACCTAGGCCCGAAAGGGGGGGGGGTCTTGAGAGTTAGAGGAAGGGGGTTGGGTTAGTGAGCTGTGACTTTTAGGTTAGATTAGGGATGTGTAAGTTATTACTGCTTTGACTATGTTATGTTTAGGGTTTCTTTTGATACTTGTTTATGTAGGTTTGTTTTATTTGTTATTGTTTTTTGTTTGTGTATCTGTTTATGTGTTGTTGCTTACTCCTAACTCGTTTTCACATTTTTCTAGAGCAAGTCTTATCCTTTCTTTTTGCACACTTTGCACAGCCGAAGAGCTTTGCAAGAGCAACCTCTCTACTCTTAGAGGTAGAGGTCAGATTTACATACATATCATCCTCTCTAGACCCCACCTTCGGGGGCTTGCTTGGTTTGGTTTATTAATACATACACGTACATGATATATATATATATATATATATATAGAGAGAGAGAGAGAGAGAGAGAGGGGTAGGTTCATGCGAGAATGAAATTTGTTTAAGAAAATAAGAAAATGGCTAAATCACATACAAAATCACATGTGATTTTACATTAACAGGAAAAAAGAGGGCACGAGCGACTTTGGTCACGGGCAAAGTCACGTGAATCATATGTGAATTTATACGTATTGTTAGTGTAAAATCTCATGTGATTTAGTCATGTTTTTATTTTTTTTAATAGATACCATTCTCGTATAAACTCGTCTCTCTCTCTCTCTCTCTCTATCTATATATATATATATATATATATCACAAAGAGAGGGGGGGAGAGGTTTAAGGGAAAACCCCCTAAAAAATAAAAAACTGATGAACACCCTGATAACTATTCATCTGGATCATATGCACATGTACATACAAGTAATCGGAGCTGTTTCTTGGATATGTGCATATTGTTCAGATGAACGGTTAGTAGGGTGTTTCTCAATTTTCCATTTTTTATGATTTTTAGCTGAATCTAACCCTATATATATAACTAGAAGGGTACTCGTGCAATGCAGCGAGATACATCTCGATTTGAATGTTTCGTTTTATTTTTGTCCCCTTGTCTATGTTATAATACGGTTTTATGTGGTTTTGAGAAAAACGATAATATTTTTATTTTTTAATAAAATATAAATTTGAAGATATCTTAAAATTTAAAAAAAAAACAAATCGATATTAGTATCAAATTAACTATTTAAAAGTTTTTGTTTTGTTGTGTAATTTCTTTAATTTAATTTTTTATTATAATTTAATTTAGATTTAATAAGGAGGTAACTTATTTTTGATTTAATAAAATGATTTTTATAAAGATAATAATTAAATATTATGTTAGAAGACAATGATTATCTTAATTATATTTTTAAAATTTTTATATTTAAAATGAAATGTTTATCCAATATTTGATTATGTTTATCTGTAGTTAGTTACACGAATTCAAGTATGGAGCTTCAATAAGTTGTACTTATGCATTATTTACTTGTAATCTTGAATTTTAAGTAATATGCATCAATAAACAGTATTTCATGTATAAAAATATTTTTTAAGAGTTTTTGTCAAATGTTTTATAAAGGAAGTAATTTATTTTTGATTTAATAATATAATTTTTTTTATAAAGATAATAATTAAGTATTCTGTTAAAATACAATGATTATCCTAAT